AAGTCTAAAAAAAACACACACTCCATACGACCCTTAAAAACTTATCTGTAATCCACACACTTTGAGGGCTTCAGAACCTCTAGGGTTAGGTTAGGTTTGGGGATGTGCAGTCATTTATGTGGCTGCAGCACTCTGAGACCAGTTAGGTCCGTTGTGATCATCCACGAGAAGAGAAAAGATAAAGACAGATCTTTAGGAGAGAGACGATTGGGGAAATAAAGGGGAGTTGTCAAGCTTACAGAAATATATAAAAAAGGTGAGATTGGAATGAAGGTCGATGGCTATAGGAATCAGACAGAAGATGTGTTACCTGTCAAGGTTGAACGTTCCTAACCACTTTAGATTTCTAATTATGCTGTAGATTAGAGCAGGTTCGATTGTAAAGAAGAAGAAGATGAGACTCGCTAGAAAATGAGCGCCCAATAGTCTGTGCCGCTTGTAAGCCAGGGCTGGGCAGTGACACAGGAGATGCTCAATGGTCTCCGTCTCCTTCTCGTCAACGCAGAGTCTACAGTAATCAATTGCATCAAGTGACCAGTAATGATTCCTGTCATCACTATAATTTCAGATTTGCGTTCTTTTGGTAGACAGAGTCGGCCAAATAGATCTTGACACGTTGCACCTAGGTTCGTTGTGCCAAAGTTCGTAGGCTCTTTCATTGAAGAACGCCTCAAAATTCCGGTAAACATGACATAAGGGTGGTTTGGTTGAGTCATCAGTTGCTAGATCTGTGGATTGAGATCCTCGTCTAGCTAGTTTGTCCGCTCTTTCATTACCCAAGATGTCACAATATTCTGGTACCCAACACAACCGATAGCTGTAAGTAAGATCTTCCAAAGCTGCTCTACACTTGAGGTCAAATGGCTTCAGATTTGATATAATAAGATTTGATGGCTTTAAGAGCCGCTTGACTTTCCACAAAGACTTTTTATAAATTCCACTGCCTTCCAAATCGCGAAGATTTCAGCTTGGAAAACACTACAGTCGCAATCCACCACCACCCCCGTACCTTCTTCCATCTTGGATCCGTCTGTATAGAAGGCCAGACCGTCCAGAGGAGGGTTACTTCGGTTCCAGTCGTCCCTACTAGGAACCTCTAACTTACCCTTAAAGATCTATTTTCAATACCCACACTTTGCGGGAGCTTCAGAACCTCTAACTTATCTTTACAAAATTCGTAAATTTTTCTTCTTTTGGTTCTCCAAAAATAAAATACGATTTATTCGCTTTCCATCCCGTTAAAAATCTCTAATTTCGTTCAAAAAAATCTTTATTTTTTCCTCCTTGGAACCTTTAAAAATTGTTTTAAAAACTTCCCAATCCTTGTAGTCTTCAGGACCTCCAAAATTATTTAAAAGAACCACACTTCTCTTCCCCTCCTTCTTTTAAAAATTCAAGTTTTTTGCCCTATTTCCTAATTGTTTTCTTCTTTGAGTCCCCCAATTTGTTCTCTTCCCATCCCTCAAAAAACCTCTAATGTTCTTTTTGAGTTCAATAAAAAAATCTCCTTGGACCCTTTAAAAATTGTTTTAGAAACTTCCCAAACCTTGTAGACTTTAGGACCTCCAATTTTTTTTAAAGAATCACATTTCTCTTCTCCTACTCCTCCTTTAAAAATCCAAGTGTTTTATCCTATTTCTGCCCTCCAAAAATCCAAGTGCCCTACTTCTGCCCTTTTAATATTCTATTAAAAATTGAACCTCCGTCGGCAATAATTCCCGCCATCTCCACACAATTTCACATTACATCTTATTTTTAAATCAAAAAAACTATTAAATTTTTAAACCACTGTGCAATAATGCCTAATATGCTGTGAACCACTGTGCATTAAAAATTTTGTTCATTTTTTCCATTTATTTATAATTTTTATTCATTTACTTTGCCCTACTTTCAACCAAAGATGATTTCTAATGTTAACGCCTGAAAGTATGCTACAATTTTTGATCCATCATTAACGCTGTCATTAGGCATGCATTACATGCATTGGCATGCATTGCATATGTGTAACAAAGGGTTTTTAATGAAAAATTAATTGAAAAAATCCGAAGAAAAATTAATGGACATAGGATATAGTCAATGGATCGGGGTATAATGGTAAAATGTCCCATTAATGTATTATTTTCTTTATAAAATATTTATTAAATTTAAATGATTTTTAACTTCGTTAGAAGTAAACATTGTGAGCTGAATTTTGTTAGAAAAAAAATATAAAAATATATTTAATGTCATTATGGGTGATAGAGAGAGAGCACACAACAAGGAGAAAGAGTGGAATTAAAAGTAGGAGAGAGTGCTCCAAATATTCTTAAAAAAAATCAACCCAAACACTTTTTTTAAACCACAAATTAAATTAAATATTAATAAATATTAATTGTTAATTAAATATAAATATTAAAAAAATAAATTTATATATTAAAAATTATATATTAACAATTATATGATTTTTTTCTATAGGTCCTCCAAAAAATTCTACGATTATTCCTTTCAAAAACCTCGAATGTTGTTCCCTTTGAAATCTATAAAAAAATTCCTTGTTAACTTTAAAAAATTGATATAAAAACTTCTCAATCCTTATAGTCTTTAGGACCTCCAAAGTTATTTAAAAGAATCACACATATCGTCTCCTCCTTTGTTTAAAAATCCAAATGTTTTGTCCTATCCCTCCCAAAATTCTTTAGATTAACCATGTGCCTGCCAAATACCCAACTTATGCCCTTTAAATATTCTATAATTTTAATCTTTATAGAATATTTAAAGGGCCTTGCTTCAACCGGCCCTGGCTTTTTGTGCTTTTTCTGCTCCCAAAAAATAATCTAATTTATTCCAATTGTTCCCGAATTCTTCTATAATTCCCGCCATCTCCCCATAATTTCATTAAATCTAATTGTTAATACAAAAAAAACATTACATTTTTAAACCACTGTGCAATTTATTAACCCTAATATGCTGGGAATCACTGTGCATTATAAATTTTGTTCATTTTTTCCATTTATTTATCATTTTTTTCCATTTTATTAGCCTTACTTTCAACCAAGTGTGGTTTTTCATGTTAACGCCTGAAAGTATGCTACAATATTTGAGCATTCATTAATGCTGTGATTAGGCATGCATTACAATCATAGGCGCATAAATGTAACAAAGGGTATTTTTATGAAAAATCAATTGAAAAAATCCGAAGAAAAATTAATGAATATAGGATATCGGCAATGGATCGGGGTATAATGGTAAAATAGTCCAAAAAATTTATTATTTTCTTTGAAAAATATTTATTAAATTTAAATGATTTGTAATTAGGTTAGAAGTAAACATTGTTAGAAGTAAACATTGTGTGGGCTATACCAAAACGTTGACCGATATTGATAATTTTTGGCAGAAAGATTTAGCACCAAATGAGAACCCATAATACCAAATTACAGCCAATTCGGTTAAAGGACGTACTCAAAATTCTTAAAATACCGAATATTGGATGTTAACGATATATGGAGGTCTATACCAAAACATAGACCAATATTGCTAATTTCTAGTAGAAAGATAGGTTACGTAATGATTACCTAAAGTTCCAAATTTCAGTCAATTCGATGGAAAAACAAGCTCAAAATCCCCAAAATTCTGAATAGCGTTATATGGGGACTATACGAAAATGTGGACCGATATTGATAATTTTTGGCAGGAAGATGAGGTACCTAATGAGAACCCCAAATACCAAATTACAGCCAATTCGATTGAAAAACTAACTCAAAATGTCTAAAATCCCGATTAGCGATATATGGGGACTATATCAAAACGTGGACCGATATTGCTAATTTTTGGTAGGAAGATAACCTACCTTATGAGAACTCAAAATACCAAATTACAGCCAATTCGAATGAAAAACCAACTCAAAATGCCTAAAATCCCGATTAGCGATGTATGGGGCCTGTATGAAAACATGGACCAATATTGATAATTTTTGGTAGAAACATTTGCCAACTAAAGAGAACCCAAAATACCAAGTTACAGCCAATTCGGTTTAAAAAGGAGCTCAAAATCCTTAAAATCCCGAATAGCGTTATATGGGGTCTATACCAAAACATGCACCGATATTGATCATTTTCGACAGGAACATTTGCTACCCAATGAATACCCAAAATACCAAATTATAGCCAATTCGGTTAAAAAACAAACTCAAGATCCTTAAAATAGTGACTAGCTTTGTATGTAGGCTATACCAAAACGTGGACCTATATTGATAATTTTTGGCAGGAAGATAAGCTGCCTAAAGAGACCGCAAAATACCAAATTACAGCCATTTCTATTCAAAAACGAACTCAAAATCCCTCAAATTCCGAATAGCGTTATATGGGGGGTATACGAAAATGTGGACCGATATTGCTAATTTTTTGCAGGAATTTGAGCTACCTTATGAGTATCCAAAATACCAAATTACAGTCATTTCGTTAGAAAAGTGTACTAAAAATACCCAAGATCCAGAATAACGTTATATGGGGCTATACCAAAACATGGACTGATATTGATGATTTTTGGTAGGAATATTTGCTACCAAAGGAGAACCCAAAATACCAAATTACAGGCAAATCGTTTGAAAAACAAGCTCAAAATCCCTAAAATTCCGAATAGCGTTATGTGGGGTCTATACCAAAACATGGACCTATATTGATGATTTTTGGTAGGAACATTTGCTATCTAATGAAAACCCAAAATGTCAAATTACAGGCAATTCGGTTGAAAAACGAGTTCAAAATTCCCACAATAGAATAGTACCCCCTGAAAATAGTAACGATAAACTCCTAAAAATAACCCATTTAGACCTCCTTTAGACCTCCCAAATAACCCACAATCTCAATTAAAAATCTGTTAATTTTTTTCTTAAAAAACACCGTTCAAATTGGGATCTTTTTTATTTGAACATTTCTTATTTTTTGTCTCATTTTTTAGTTTTTGTTTTTGTACTTGGACTATACAAATTAGCCAATTACAAACAAACCACAACATAGGTCTACTAGTTTTAAAAAAAATTATACACAAATCATTAAGAACAAAACGAACTACGCATCGTCTATTCAGAGCGCATCATTTTCTCCTTTTGTCTTTGCATCTTCTTCTTGGACAACTTCTTCTTGGCGGGCTCATCATCGGTGGCCTTGGCAACAACTTCTTCCTTTTCGGTAAGGATGACCTCAACGTGACAGGGTGAGGACATGTAGGGGTTGATGCGACCGTGAGCACGGTATGTGCGGCGACGCAAGCATTGGGCACGGTTCACTTGAATGTGATCGACGACCAAACGATCGACATCGAGACCCTTGTAGTCGGCGTTGGCTTCGGCATTGCGGAGCAATTGCAAAAGGAATTCAGCGGATTTCTTGGGCCAGCGACCTTGGGTGGTCTTCCACTGTTTGGCTTGGGCGCAACGGCCGACACCACCGTTGAAACGGCGGAAGGGAACGCATTCCTTCTTGTCGATGACAGCCTTCAAGAAACGTTGGGCACGACGCAAGGGCATGCGTTTGATGGCCTGGGCGGTTTCATGGGTGTTCTGGAAATAAAAACAAGAAATGCAAAATTAGTGAGGGGTTCCATAGGAAAGTTTTGAAGAATAAACTTCTGTTCGTGTTAATGTTTAACAGGACAGGTAGTGTCTAAACTCTAGAATTTAAGCCTTAGCCACTGTTTATCTGTCATTGGGGTTTTATCTGAGCATTCTAAGTTGATGATAAGTTTGGGGACAACAACTTATCTTGAGATTATAAAATGCTGTACAAAATGAGAATGTAAAACTTGGAGGACAACTTCGGAGGGACTGCAAACAAGAATTGACAACATTTGTTTTGTATTCTGTGTGCTAATGTTTAACAGGACAGGTAGTGTTTGAGCCGTTGGTTACAAAGCCTCAAACACTGTTTATCTGTCAATGGGATTTTATCTAAGCATTCTAATTGGAAATGATAATCCCGAGAAATACAAAAAATTATCAAAATGATTTTAAAATGCTAAAAATACTGATCTAAAAATATTGCAAATAAATCGCTGTAATGTTCAACAGGACAGGTAGTGCCTAGGCCGTGGGTTACAAAGCCCTAAGCACTGTTTATCTGTCAATGGGTGGTTTTATCTTAGCATTTTATTTAAATGTAAAGTCAAATGAAAAGGATGAGAGAACTTTACATTTAACGCATAAATGCTGTAGTATTTCGAGATCGATTTTATTTTTAGAAGGAAAGGGGGAGGGTGCAATTTCAATGTAACCAAGTGAAAGAAGAATATTTGGAATTATAAACTTAATACTCCAAAATTCTGTGAAATCTTGGCTATTTAAAATTCCATCTTTGTGGAGATGGAATTTCTTCACTCTAGCATCTTTGCAAAAGTCCAAAATGGGATATTGAAAAATCCCAGAACTGATTTAAGATGCAAAATGTATTTTTTGCTGATTGTTTGTTTGCGGATGAGGAGGAATAACTCTGGAGAATGAACGTTTGGAAAAAATTGATAAAAACTTAAAAATGCCGAATATTGGGAGATACCTTTATATGGGGGATATATCAAAAAGTGGACCGATGTTGATAATTTTTGGCTGAAAGATTTACTACCTAATGAGAACCAAATATACCAAATTACCATAAAATCGATTGAAAATCAAGCTCAAAATCCCTAAAATTTAGAATACCGTTATATGGAGGCTATAACAAAACCTTCATCGATATAGATAATTTTTGGCAGGAAGATGAGGTACCTAATGAGAAACTAAAATACGAAAATACAGGCAATTCGATTGATAAACAAGCTCAAAATCTCTTAAAATTCCGAATAGAGTTATATGGAGGCTATACCGATACATGGATAGATACTGATAATTTTTGGCAGGAAGATGAGATACCTAATTAGAACCCAATATACCACCAAATTACAGCCAATTCGAATGAATATAGAGCTCAAAATCCCTTAAATTCGGAATACTTATATATGGCTGCTATACCAAAACGTCGATCGGTGTTGATAATTTTTGGCAAAATGATTTGCTACCTAATGAGAGCCTACAACACCAAATTACAGCCGATTCGGCTGAAAAAGAAGCTCAAAATCGTTAAATTCGGAATATCGTTATATGGGGGCTATACCAAAACATGGGCCGATATTGAACATTTTTGGCAGGAAGATTTGTCACCTAAAGAGAAATCCAAATACCAAATTACAGGCAATTCCATTGAAAACCGATCTCAAAATCCCCAAAATTCCGAATGACGTTATATGGGGGCTATACCAAAACGTGGATCGATATTGATAATTTTTTGTAGAAACATTTACTACTCTAAGAGAACCCTAAATACCAAATTACAGCCTATTCGATTTAAAAACATGGTCAAGATCCCCAAAATCCATTATGGCGTTATATGGGGGATATGCCAAAACGTGAACCGATATTGATCATTTTTGGCAGGAAGATTTACTACCTTATGAGAACCCATTATACTAAATTACAGCCATTTCCATTGAAAAATGATTTAAAAATTCTCAAAATCTCGAATATCGTTATATGGGGGCTATACCAAAACATGGATCGAAATTGATAGTTTTTGTTAGGAAGATTTGGTATACAATGAGAATCCAAAATACCAAATTACAGCCAATTTGATTGAAAAATGAGATCCAAATCCATAAAATTCCGAATTGCGTTATATGGGGGCTATTTCAAAACATGGACCGATATTGATAATTTTTGGCAGGAAGATTTGCTATCCAATGATATCTCAAAATACCAAATTACAGCAAATTCGATTGAAAAATGAGACCCAAATCTCTAAAATCCCGAATAGCGTTATATTGGGGCTATATTAAAATATGGACCGCTATCGATAATTTTTGGCTGAATGATTTGCTACCTAATAACTCGATATATCAAATTACAGCCAATTCGTTTCAAAAAGAAGCTCAAAATCCCTAAGATCCCGAATGACGTTACGTGGGGGCTATTCCAAAACATGTTATAGCACCCATATAATTTGTATAAAAATTATCCACATAGGGTTCAGAAGAACTTCTAGTATAAAATTTCTCCACACAAGGTCCCTAAGGCATTTTTGTATAAAATTGATTTCCATTGGGGTTGTGATGCTAGAGTAGTGTTCCTCCCTATGGTGGAGTGGTAACACTGAAAATAAAAAAATACAACATTAGTATTTCAATTATTTGAGATAAGAATCTAAAAAGGCAAACCTGAACCTTGAAACTTCAAAACACATTCAGATATTTGAAGGTGTGTCCAGAGTCATCTCTCACTTTTGTAGAGTATTATATGGATCACTTATAGAGTATTCGATTAGATCTATTCTCGATTCCCAAGTCTGCTTTTAGTATTTCCCAAGAAGCTAATAGATTTTCATTGTGATTGTGGTAACCAACATAGGTGGTCCCAAGGCTTATTTTAGATCAATGTCAAGGTCTATCTCAGATCAATGGTATTGATCAACAGTTTTGTTTACGTTTCATCATACGAAAAATTCAAAACAGGAAGCATTTTGTCAGCAGAAGGCAATTTAAATCTGATCTTCCAGGTTGTCCCGACCTTGAGCTTAGATCATTGATGGTCCTAATTTTTGTTTTTTTGTTAAATTCTCTTAGCGTATTTCATATTTCATCACATTTGGAATAAATTAATTTTACACACTTCTAAATAATTTTCAAAACTCCAGCCGATCCAAATAATTTTTTAATACATCAGGCCTACCTCATCCGCCTTGCCCTAAGGCTCGGCTCCACACATTCCTCCACAAACAATCATAAAATACTTGACATTAAATTCATTATTGAAAAAAATATTGTACTCAAGACTAAGAAGAGTAAAGGAATAGTTACATTTCCGTATACCCTGCTGATGCTTGATCAATCAAAATTTCACCAGTAGAAGTGAAACTCCTTTAATCTGGCATCTTTGCAAAAGTTGTACAAATAAAGACATTGATTAGGTCTCACAACTGATTTGAGATGCCTTATACACGATTATCCTAAAAATTACAAACAAATTTTAACATTTTTTTAATAAAAATTCAGTACAAAAATCACACACAATCTAACCTCACTTTTTCACATGTTTTTGTTAAAAGCACACACACAAGATTTCTCATGCACACGCAGAGCAGAGGGGACAGTAGTAGTTGTCAAACATTGTTGTTGCAGTTGCTGCTTATCCCCGCCAATGTTGTCATTTTACAAAGATAAACTTTTGTTGTTGTTGTTTTTTACATACCTTGAAATGCACACGTAGATTTGGTCCACGGGCTTTGCAAGCCTTGGCGGCTGTCTCTGGTTCCCGAGAGTAACGACCCATGGTTTGTGTTTAATTTCTGCAGCAGGCACAGGCAAACGAAGAACACGCACGCACAAACATGAAAAGATAAACAATAAAACACATTAGTGACATTGTCGTCTTCCATTGCTTTCAATTATTAATTTGTTTATTTCTCTCTATACACTTGCTTGGCAAATTATAATATTTCTTCTTTTCTATGCCACACATTGTCATTTATCATTTAACACTTTTACTTTTTTATTTATTTCCATTATTTTCTTGATGTTTTATAATTTTTTCGTTAAATTTTTTTACGGAAAATATCGTACCTTCTTCTTAGTGAATTAAACCGGAAAAGAACTTTTTTGACAGCTGTCATATGGTGGGTAAAACGGTGCATGCCATACAGAGTTGTATTTCTTTGACACATAGCTCAGAGGGAATGATGCCATTTGTTTTAACTGTAGAGGAGTGAGAGAGAGAGATGCCATATGTGGGTATTTTTTCAATGAGAGAAGAGAGAATAGGGGAAATAAAGGAAAGAAATTAATTTTTAATGAAATTATTAATAAGATCTAATTAAAAAATAAGGAATTAAAAGGGAAAATCATAAAAAATTTAATAAAAACAATAATTTTTGATACTTTGTAACGTTTTTTTGTAATTTAATGAAAAAAATAATCGCTAAAATAATGTTCTTCATGGAGATTGGAAAAAATATAAGAAAGAGTTGAAATAAATTAATTTTATATGAAATTTATTTTAAAATTAACTAAAAAATGTAAAAGGTATCTTATATTTTCAGAGTTCTACAAAAGTGTATTTTTTACATTATTTTAAAGCAAAAAAGGTATAGTTTTTTTTTAAATAATGAAAATATTCAGAACAAAAGATTAAAAAAGAATCAAAGTGCGTTGTGAAAATACAGAAAATACGGTGTTCCATTATATGGGTCTATACCAAAAACGTAAACCTACCCAATAAATGAACCGAAATTAATAAAAAAAAAAACAAGAAAACGTATTTTGGATATTTTTACTAATTTTAAATTTGATTTGAAATGTTTTTTTTTTTTTTGGGATGCATCTTTTTTTCAATTTTTAATCTTCTTCATTGAAAGTATAAAAAATACATTTAGCCTGTTTTTATTTAAAAATTGCTTAAATTGTTTAAAATTTTACCGTTTGTTGTCTAAACTTAATTAAGTAAAGTGTACAAATGTAACCGACAAAACGAGCCAAGTCACCATAATATGACGCCGTTGGTTATCATTCTCAAGTGAATTACTAAAATGTGCCAATTTCTTGTGAAACGGATTTACTAATGTTTGAGTAACATCTGGCAACACAGAAAGTTTTTTTGTTAATCTGTTAATCCATTTTTAAAATAAATTGTTTATAGTGTGCCCAAGCCACCATAACATGACGCCGTTGTAAAGCCTTATACAGCAATTAGCTATCATTCTCAAGTGAATTGCCGTATCTACTGCAATAACTGTCACATATGGATGATTGTTTTTTTTTTTTTGACAAAAATTATTTAAAAAGAGCTTAAAATGTTAAAATTTCTCGTGAAACATGATCATTTGTGATTTAGTGACATGTGGTAAACCATGAATGTTTATTTTTTATTTAATTAAAACAATATTTTTCATTTTAAAAAATAAATTGTTGTGTGTGTGTCCAAGTTACTATAGCATGCCGCCGTTACAATGCTTGATGCAGCTGTTGGTTATCATTCCAAAGTGACTTGCATTTTAAGTGACTTTACAAAGTTTTTCATTATTTGGGGTTGGATTTTTTGTGTTTTTACCAAAAATTATTTATTTAATGATTAATGTAAACAAAAAATAACGTCAATAAAGGTGTTAAAGAAAATATTCAGTGCAAAAAAGCGTGGGAGTAAAACACGTAGATTATTTTAAATGTTTTCAAGGCTAAAGAAGCGTGAATTTCATAAATGTTCTCAAAGCAAATGAAGGATTAAAAAAAAAAAACGAAAAATATATTTTTAATATTTAGAATGCTGCCGTTACAATACCTGATGCAGCTGTTTGTTATCATTCTAAAGTGACTTGCATTTACAGTGTATTTTCTAAAGCCTGTCACCGATGGGGTTAGGATTTTTGTTTTAACAAAAATTATTTATTTTACAAAAATAACGTTAATAAAGAGAATAATATTAAATGATAGATCTCATTAAAAAAAATGTGTCTCATACAGCTATTTGGTATCATTCCAAAGTGAATTACATCTACTGTGTGTCTTTTCCAAATGCTGTTTTTTTTATTTTTTACCAAACTTTATTTTAATAATGTAAACACTTCTATAAAAAAATATGCTTCAGTAATATTTGGCAACATTAAAAGCTTAATATTCAATTAAAAATTATATTTCCTATTCAAAAAGGTATTTTATATTATTACTTTAACATGCCGCCGTTACGTTGCCGTTCATAAGGCCTCATACATCTGTTGTTATTATTCCACAATGAATTACATTTACTGTGCCTATTCTAACAGCTGTCACATAGGTGGTTGGTCTTGTATTATAATTTTTTTGGCAAAAATTAGTTTAAAGAAAGTTAAAAATTACATGAAAACGTGTTTATTTATATTTTATATAAAATCTGTCAAAATTTAGTGCTAAATTTCCAATATTTTCAAGTTATTTTTATTATTAAAAACATTAATTGTACTGTGTGGCTGTTTCAATGTAACATGCCGCCGTTACGTTGCCGTTAATAATGTCACATACATTTGTTGTTATTATTCCACAGTGAATTACAATTATCTGTGCTTATTCCAACAGCTGTCACATAAGTGGTTTGTTTTGTATTGTTTGTTTTTTTTTATTGCAAATATTAGTTAAAAGAAAGTTAAAAATTATATGAAAACGTGTGTATTTATATTTTACATAAAATTTGGCAAAATTTAGTTCTAAATTTCCAATATTTTTAATTTATTTTTATTATAAAAAACAATAATTGTATTTGTGTGCCCATTTCAATAAAGCCTGCCGCCGTTACATTGCCGTTATAAGGCCTCATACATTTGTTGTTATTATTCCACAGTGAATTACATTTACTGTGTTCATTCTAACAGCTGTCACATAGGTGATTGATTTTGTTTTGTTTTTGACAAAACTTGTTTAAAAAGAAGCTGAAAATATTCACGGAAAGTGTTAATTTATATTTTACATAAAATCTGTCAAAATTTAGTGCTAAATTTCTAATACTTTTAAGTTATTTTTATAATTAAAAACATTAATTGTACTGTGTGCCTTTTTCAATATAACATGCCGCCGTTGCATTTCCGTTATGAGGCCTGCTGCAAAGAATGTTATCATTTCCCAGTGAATGCATGCTATGTTGTCATTATAACAGCTGTTCTATATGGCTACCCACCACTTACTGGGGGTTGATTTTGTTGGACAAAAACAAAAACAATTGCCTGTCAATGGGTTGGAAAATCCGTGATAGGGAGGCGAACACACAAAATACAAATGGCAAAAACATAACAACTGTCAAAGAAATCGCAATAGCAATGAATTGAAGTTAAGCTCAAAGCCGCCGCGACCATTAAACAACGTTAGTGAGTGTTAAATAAAGGCGCGAATTAAATAAAACAAGCTCGTGTTATTTTTAGTTGCAAAAAACGAAACAAAGGCAAACCGCAGAAATATCAGTTTTATTGTAAGGCAGTGTGATTTTGTGTTGAGCGCAAAATAAGTTCGTGTTTAAGTGTATGTGTGTGTGTGCTTTAGTGTTGTTGTTACTGCATGGACAATGAAAACCAGGAAAATCAAAAAGAAGAAACAACAAAACGAGTAGCACAGCAAACAAACCAACAACAGGCAGGCAAGGCAGCAGGCTGACAGCCAAAAGCAAGGCAAAGAGCAAAGACAAGCAAATCAATGCAGGATAATACAAAGCTTTAGTTGAAAAATTGTAGAGCGCAAAGAGTGACAACACATGGTTTTTTGGTGTGTTCTGAAGGAAAAAAATAATAATATATAAATAACATAGAGGAAAATTTAACAAATAAAAAATTAAAAAGAAACGGAGTTATTAAAAAAGTCATTGAAGAGAAAAATATTCAACAAAAACAACTGAAAAAGTTAAAAATATCTGTGAATTAATTGCAACCATATTTAAGGAAAAGAAAATTGGTAAGTAAATTTTTTTATTAAAAAAAACCATAATAAAAAAATTATTTCCATTTTCTTGTCATCAATCTGTTAAAATTTTTTCCATTAAAAAGGTAAATAATTTTCCACCACCCCAAAACCTATTGTAGAAATCCTTTGGGTTCTTTTTTTCCATCAATTTGAAACTCAATACAGGACTTTCGATAAGCCAACATCTGTCTCAAGTCTGTATTATAAGCAAACGTTCACACACACACACACACCAATACATTTCTAAGGATTTGATTATTGTTGTTGTTGTTAGGATGGGTCTTGTTTCTGCGTGTGTGAGTGAGTGTGCCTGCCTCGTCGTTTGAACTGCAGATTTTCACCCCTCAATTTTGGCAAACTAAACCTAACTTATTTCAGGGTTGCCATATGAGGAATTTTAGGGAGGTTCGACCAAAAAATCAGAAATTCCCAAAATTGAAGAAAAAATTAATTTTTATAAAAAACATATTTTTTTATATTTTCTATTTTTTAATATTTTCTGTTTATTTTATTACTACATTATTTATTATTTTTTTAAATTTTTCTAATTTTTTCTATTTTTTTATTTTTAATTTTTTCTATTTATTATTTTAATGTTTTCTTAATTTTTTATTTTTTTCTATTTTAATTTTTTTTGTTTGTAAATTTTCTACTTTTTATTTTTTCTATTATTTTTATTTTTTTCTATTATTTTTATTTTTTTTTTCTATTATTTTATTTTTTTTTCTATTTTTTCCTTTATGTGTCTTTCAATTCCGACCAAATTTTCTTCTTTCCGTCCCCAAAAATGTGGCATCTCTGCAAATTTTTGTGTGCCTGGTTTCCTTTGGGTATTCTCTGTATGTGTGAGTGCGCCGTTGCCCAAGTGTCGTCATCATCATGGATTATTATTCTCGTTTTGAACACATCCTGATGTCACACACCGACAGATAGACACACACACACACATTTACAAACATTCTTACAATGAAGCTCAAATGGATTGAAAACAAATATTTCCCCCAATACGAAATACCCAGCACTCCTCAATTTACTCCACCTTTTTGTGAATTGTATAACAACGGGGATTAAACCACTGATGGGAATTGATAACTGTGTTCTCTCAACACATCTGTTTTTCTCAATCTCTCTTTCTCTTTTTTAAGCTCTTTGAAATTTTTGTTTTGGCTTACCTTTTGAAACCCACGTTTTGGCAAGAGAAGCCGTTATATGTTGTTTTCC